GATCACACACTGGGACACAGAGATAGCCTCAACAAATAGAAGAGGGTTGAAATCATACCAACCATATTCTCTGATCATACATACAATGGAGTATCTTGTAGAAGAGATGAAATACTGCCATTTGTGACAACATGAATGGACCTCGAGATAATCATGCTAAGCAAAATAAGCCAGACAGAAAAAGTTGAAAGTCACATGATATCACTTATATGTGGGATATAAACCTAAAAGCAACAAGCGAACAGGAGAAACAAACAGAGACTCATGGACATGGACTATACACTAGTATTTACCAAAGGGCAGGGGGTGAGGGAGGAGGGGGTAGGTAGAAAGGGTAAAAGGGGTCAAATATAGGGAGGTAGGGGGAGGGTGGAGTGGGTAAAAGAGATCAAAAATATGGTAGTGAAGGAAACTGGACTTCGGGTGGTAAAGACACAACAGAATATACAGATGTCAAATTATAATTTACACCTGAAAATTATATAATTGTATTAACCAATGTTACCCTAATAAACAATTTAAAAAAATAAAGATAGAAATAAAAAAATTAAAACTTTGAATTCTGGTCAAGATGGCAGAGTAGATAAATGCTGTGCTTGCCTTCTCTCGCAACCACATCAAAATTACAACTAAACTACAGAACAGCCATCATTGGGAGTTGCCTGAAGTCTAGCTGAACAGGTCTTAAAATTAGGAACACACAAAAGAGGTCACCTAGAGACTGAAAAAAAAATTAAAACTTTTGTGTCACAGAACACATTAAAGAAGGCGAAAAGACAGCACACTACTGTGAGAAGATACCTCCACAACATATATCTCATGAGACTTGTATCAAGAACTTATAAAGAATCTTACAACTCAATAACAAAAAAGAATCAATGTGAAACTATTAAAAATTGATAGAAAATTCAGTTAAGTAGCATACAAAAACAAATAAACAAACAAACAAACAAACAATAACCTTCATACGTAAAACAATAACCAGTTAAAGCTACCAATGTCAGAAATGAAGGAGGGTATTGAAAGAGTATTAAGAGAATATATATTAATAACTTTATGCCCATAAATTCAACAACTCAAGTGAAATGAACAATTTTTTTGAAAAATACAAAGTACTAAAACTCACTTAAGAAGAAACAAATAACTTCAACAGTCCTATATGTATTACATATGTATTATATGTACATATAATACATATGTATTATAGAAGTTGAAGTCATCATTTAAAACTCTTCAGAAAATGAATTTCCAGGCAAAATTGCTTTTATTGGCCATCATATGGATGAATCTCAAATGTGTTATGCTAAGTAGAGGAAGCCAGACTCAAAAGACTACATGTGTGACATTCTGGTAAAAGCAAAACTATGTTGATAGAAAACTAGATTAGTTGTTTCAAGGGGTTGGGGATATGAGGGTTTGCCTAGAAGAGGGCACAGGGGAACTGAGAGGCAATGAAACTCTCCTATAGCCAGACTGTGGTGGTAATACGACTGTCAGCATTTGTCAAAACTTGCATGATGGAGTAAATTTTACTGTGTGTAAATTACACCTCAATAAAAAGGTTTTGACAGCTGGATGGCAGATCTATAAATAGTAATTGACCTAACAGAATTGAGTAAGCCATAAAGAAAACTGAAACGTCATCATCTATATAGCACTGAATTCTCGAAAAGAACCAGTGTATTTAGATTTGACTATGGGAGGGAATGCTAAACCTAGGAATAGTGGATAGGGGGAGAAACTATTTGAAAGCAATTATATCCCTCTGTACTCTGTACCTCTGGATTATTGTATCTTTTTACTGCAGAAATCTGGAGTTTTGTTTTCTGCGGAGAATAAAACAGGTAATCCACATTGGGGAGTCCCAGGCACAGTTTAGGGTCCTAGATACCAACACTAGAAGGTTAGGAGATGGTGAACATACTTAATGCAGAATGCTAAGACAAAGACACCTTCCATCCAAGCTGCCAGAACACTGCAGGAAGACCCTTGCCACTCAGGAAGGAATATGGAATCATCTATGAAGCTGACAAGCTAAGAGAGATGTCGTAAAGAAACCGAAAGCAGCTCCCCACGACTCACTCAGTTCTCTCACTGAGAAGCTCACAGTACATAAGCCATGTCCACACCCGAGAGTTTCCAATCACTTTTATTCCAACAGTCTTAATTTCAAAGAGAAGACAAAGGAATACCAGTCATCTAACAAAAATCTCCAACATAAAAAGTAAACACCAAATCAATTAAGTTGAAAATGGAAATCTGTGGGAAACAAACTTGGCTGGGAGAAGAAAAATTAAAAGTTATGAAGTACCTCCAGTTCCTTAAGGTGTAGACAAGAATGATGCACACATTCCATTGTATTCCAGCCACTAATCACAACACCACAAGTCACCTACCAAAAGATTCTGAAAGGTGATTAAAGGAGATAGACTAGTTAGGGACTGCAGAACTCAAACAACCCAGTGGCGAGTTCCCTGGAGGGCATTTCTTTCTTCTTGTGTGTCCAACTTGGAGTTAGAGAAGCCTGAAACCTGGAAATGCCAACAGCCTAACACACATATGATAGCCTTAAGAAAAGATAAAGGCCAGGAAAGGATGGCCCAACAGGATATCATGCCTGTTCTTGAGGCAAACATGAGAAAAATGCACCCCTCCGTCCCCCAAAAGACACTAAAGAAACTGGCTTCATTGGTGGAAGACTGTGTTCTGATCCCTTCTCCTGCAGTAGAGTGGACCCAAAGGCCAAGATATCAAGGTACAGTCTCATTACCATCACAATCAAGCTATAGAAGAGTTTCACTGCCCCCTAGGTCCCAGGTACCCACTTCTAGGCAAGCCTTCCTATCCTCAGCCCCTTGAAACAACTAACTTAGTTTTCCATCCACATAGTTTTCCTTTTTCCAGAATGTCATATATGTAGTCTTTTGAGTCTGGCTTCCTTTACTCAGCATGAGTGACATTTGGGACTGGAAAATTCATTGTTTTGGAAAGTGTCCTGTGCATTGTAGAATGTTTAGCAGCATCCCTAGATAACCCACTAGATGCCAATAGCACATTCTCCCAATTTAAATAATCAAAAATATATCCAGACATTACTAAATGTGCCCTGGGAACATCACCACCCCTGATTGAGGACCCTTGGTGTGCATCTTCCATGACCCTCTGCATGCAGGACAGGGTGCCAAGCTGGACACATGATGGAGTCCATATGGAGAAGGAGGTAATACCCTTCCCAATCCCCAGCCGGCACTGAGGAGACCATGAGGTCGAGTCCTGTCATCCGGGAAACATGCAAGTGGACAGACCAGAATAGCCCACAGAGACTTTATAAACTCAACTACCATTGGAACCACAGTCCACTAAAGTAAGCCAGGATGTGCATTCTGAACCTAATAGGCTGACTGCTTGATAAAATAGATTTAAGTGGGAACCAGAGCCTCATAAAGTAACACTGAAAATGCACAGGATAGAGTCCAAAATTACTCATCACACTGAGGACTAGGAAAATCTCAACTCCAGTAGGAAAAGACAATCAATAGACATCGAGCTAACACATTGAATTATTGGAAAAAGATTTTAAAGCAGCCATCATAAAAATTCTCCATTGAGCAATTAGGAACACACTTGAAATATATTAAAGTACAAGTAACAATAAAGGAAGAGAAATTACTGGCAATATATTACAGACGCTCCTCAACTTATGATGAGGTTACAATCCAATAAACCTATAGTAAGTTGAAAATATCGTAAGTCAAAAATGCATTTTATATGTCTAATCTAGTGAAGAACATTATAGCTTAGCCTAGCCTACCTTAAACATGCTCAGAACACTTACATTAGCCTACAGTTGGGCAAAATCATCTAACACAAATCCTATTTTATAATGAGTTGTTGAATATCTCATGTAATTTATTGAATACTGTACTGAAAATGAAAACAGAATGGTAGTATGGGTATCACTTTCACACCACTGAAAAGTCAAAAACTTGTTAAGTCAAACTGTTATAAATTAGGTACCATCTGTAAAAGACAAGGGTTTAATATCAAGAAATATTAGGTACAGGGATTTCCCACATGTGCATAGCCTCCCCCATTATCCACCTCTGTACCTTCTAATTCGTTTTGCTGTGAAACTAAAAATTCTATAAAAAATTAAATCTATTTAAATATATATATAAGAAACATCTAGAGCAGAGCCTGGCAAACTACTTGTTTCTGTACAACTCACGAACTAAGAATAGTTTTTACATTTTTTTTAATGCTTAGAGGGAAACAAAAAAATATTGTGAGATGTAAAAATTAAAATTCGAATTTCAGTGTCTGTAAATAAAGTTTTACTGGAACACAGTCCTGTTCATTTGTGTACATAATGTCACAACACCAAGCTCTGAAGTTTTCATGCAGCTTAAGTGGTATAGTGCATTTTGCCAAATTTTCTTTTCTCTGACGGTCATATAACTCGCTTTGTTCAATGTCACATTAGTAAATATGATCAAGATGCAGCATGAAGAGTGCTTGCACATTTCCAAAATGCTGCAACTGTGACATATGACCCAATCCCAACTTGCAGGCTGGATATTGGGAGACACAGGGTGAAATGATCCCTGCTGTATCAGTCAAGAGCCAGCCAGCTGATCCAGGAGTGAGACCACTGGAGACCACTGACCACCAGCCATCCAGCGAGCAAGACCACTGGAGACCACTACCACAGCCATCTCCATGCTGCAGAGTGAGTGAGCCGGTGACCTGCTAGAGGCTCCAGGGGTGCCCTCACGTGTCCAGATAGACCGGCGAGGGAGACACCATCAGAAGTATGAGAGGCAGAGGCAAAACCAAGTGTTCGGAGTTCCATCATGTGCGAGATACCGTCGCTTTGGTGCTGTCATGTGCTGCGTGCCTTAGTGCCGTCGCACTTTAGCGCCGTCACGCATCGCATGCTCAGCAGCCGTTGCACTTTAGTGCCGTCACGTGGGTGCCGTCTTGAGTCTCGCAGGCTTCTCATGGCCGCCCTGCTCTCCTGCCCTCGTGCTGGGCCTGGAGCTTCATGGCGCGTGGCCTCGAGCCTCCTGCTCCTGCTCCTTCTGCCCCCGGCTCAGAGTATGGCCATAGCCCACAGGCATCCTGAGAGGCAGGCGGTCACCCTGAGCCATGTCGTGGGTAGGACCCCTACCGCATGGATTGGCAGTGGTCCCGGCGGCAGTCCAGGGCTTCCTCCCTCCAACCCCCATCTCCATGTGGGAGACCCTTTCCCTGCCTTCTCTTCTCCCCTCATCCCTCTGCTATCCTCCTCTACCCTTCTCTACACTCCCTGCCCCTCCTTGTCACTCCCCTCCCCTTCTTGTCGCACCAGATTTTTCCACCCTTTGTGGACTGACCTGTCCCGCGTGGCTGCTACTCATACAGTCTGTCTCTCTCCTCTCAGCTTGTGGCCAGCGTCACATGCAGGGGAAGGTTTTAGGGGGCGTGGACGCCCCTGAGAAGAAGTGGCCGTGGCAGGTCAGCGTGCACTACGCGGGCTTGCACGTCTGTGGTGGGTCCATCATCAATGAGTACTGGATCCTATCGGCCGCCCACTGCTTCGGCAGGTGAGTGGGTGGTGCTCGATGCCGTTCCGGTGGAGGTCAGGATCCCTGAGGCTGACCATGCAGGATACCTCCGACTAGAACTTCTCGAAATTGGAGAGAGAATGGGTCCCAGCATGCAGCTCCATCTTCTATAGCTCCTCCTGGCATTGGGCTGAAGGATCCTTAGGGCCATCTGCTCTCGATGATAGGTATGGAGCCAAATCATAGGATGAGAGGTGAGGAGACAGGTCACAGGAGGAGAGGAGAGAAGCCACATCATAGAATGAAAGCTGAGGAGAGAGTGGGCAGCCCACTGTACATCTGACAAAGCTCACCATTCCCAGCTGTTGGTAGCCAGTAGGTCCTGATGGTTCCCCAGATCCTCCATGGGCCCAGGTCAGGGCTTCTTTGGAGGCAGTTCTGCCAGACAACCAGGTAACCACTGTGCTACAGGGGATTGCTTTTCAACATCCTGGCTGATAGTCTGGATACCAGGCTGCCATGCTCCAGGCCTCTCTGTATCTGTGAGCTGGTGGTGGCTCTTCTCCTCACATGCAAGGTGTTCGAGCTATTGTGCCTTTGTTCTCTCTCCCCACAGGGACAAAGACAGTGAGGCATTTGACATGTATGTGGGCCTTGTGGACCTCAAGGTTGCAGGCAATCACACCCAGTGGTTTGAAGTGAATAAGGTAATCCTGCATCATACGTACGAATTGTATCACCCTGTTGGAGGTGACGTCGCTCTAGTGCAGCTGAAAAGCCCAATTGTATTTTCTGACTCTGTACTCCCTGTTTGCATCGCATCTCCAAACATGAACTTTCAGAACATTTCCTGCTGGGCTACAGGATGGGGACTCATATCCCAAAAAGGTAAGAGGACAAGGTGGAGGGTCATTCCCTTTACTGGAGCTTGTAGAAGGGATGGTGGCTTTCTGACAGGCACTACAGGAAAGAAAATGTTCTGTCAGTTACAGGGTTACAGGTATCTGGGAACTGAAATCTCAACCCATCAATCACTATCTATTTCTCAGTGTGGAGTTTTGTTTTACCCTTGGCTGGCTTTGTTGCATACAAAGAAGTAGTTAGATCTACTTTGCGTGTGGAATCAATATTTAGTATGTAGAGACCATAAGTGTCAAAGTAAAGTTTGCTTAAGATTTTTAAATTCAACTTAGAAATAATCTTTGTCAGCCTATTAAAAGCCTATATGTTATTATCATTTTCTCCATAAAAGCATTGTATTATCTTTCTAGGTTTTTCTTTGGGTACTTTAGAATATTTATGGCTATTTAAAAGAATTTTTTAAATTGCATTAGCTAATCAGTCACAGCAATTGATTTTTGTTTGACCTTGTTTCCAGCAAGGGCTCATTTTTAGAACTAATTTTTAATAGCTTGTCAATTGATTATTTGACTGTTCTAAATTTTAAAAATCACAGTTTTTTCAAATAAAGGTTGTTTCATCATTTCCTTTTCTATATTTTATTTCTTATTTCTTTTTCTTGTCTTACTGCAATGGCTGAAACCTCCAGTAAAAATGATGCTAGGTCTCCTTTTCTTTTTTTAATTTTAAAGGAAACACTTCTGACAGTTTGCTGTTTGTAGCCTGGTCTAGAGATTTTAGATTGCTATCTTACACTAGTTTAAGAAAGTTTAAAATCTGGTTTACATAAAAAATTTTTTAAAATGTTATTGAAATTGTTATAAATTCAAATTAGAATGTTATAAGTTTAAGATGTTAAATGTAATACCCAATGGAAGCCACAAAAAATAGCTATAGAATCTACACAAAAGGAAATTAAGAGGGAATTTAGACATTTCACTACAAAAAAATCAACTAACCACAACAGAAGACATGAATGCTAGAAATGAGGGACAAAAAAGCTATAGGAGATTTAGAAAACAAAAAGCACAATGACATAAGTCTCTCCTTATCAGTAATGACTTTAAATGCAAATGAATTGAACTAATTTAAAAACAGAGTGGATAAAATTACACAACCAACTATACGCTGTCTACAAGAGACTGACTTGAGATCCAAAGAGACAAAAAGGTAGAAAGTGAAAGGATGGAAAATATATTCCATGCAAATAGGAACCAAAAGAGGGCAGGAGAGGCAAAAAGAAGAACGAAACTCGAGAATTCATACATCATTATTAAAAACATACTACAAGCTGCAGTCATCAAAACAGTGTGGTATTAGCATAGAGACGGACATATAAACCAATTAAATAGAACAGAGACCCCAGAAATAAATCTTCGCATATACAGTGAAGTTATTTTTGACAAAGATACCAAGGCTACTCAATGGGGAAGACAATCTTTTCAACAAAGTGTGTTGGAAAATTGGATATCCATATGCAAAAGAATGAAGTTAGACCCTTCCTTAACACCATACTTAAAAATTAATTCAAAATGGATCAAGGACCTAAATGTAAAGCAGGAGTGGCAATACTGATATTAGACAAAACAGACTTTAAATTAAAAAAGGTTACAAGAGACAAAGAAGGACATTATATAATAATAAAAGGCTCAATACATAAAGAAGATGTGAAAATTATAAACATTTACACACATAACACAGACCATCAAAATATATGAAACAAAGCCTAACAGAGTTGGAGAAATAGTTTTACAAAAATAATTGGAATTTATAGTTCTACAAAAATAGTTCTATGAAAGTAATCTGCTCACAATAATGGATAGAACAACCAGATAGAATTTATGTAAGGATCGAGGATTTAAACAATATAATCAATCAGCTTGATATAACAGATATATACAGAACTCTTCACCCAACAACAGTATACACATTTTCTCAAGTGTCCGTGGGACATTTTTCAGGATAGACTATTATAGGCTATAAATTAAGTCAATAGATTTTAAAAGATAGATATTATACAAAGCATCTTCTCTCACCACAAGAGGATGAAGTTAGAAATCAATAACATAAAGCTGGAAAATTCACAAAATTGTGGGAACTAAACAACACACTTTTGAACAATCAATGTATCAAAAAAATATATCATAATAGAAATAGGAAAATCCTTAGAGATGAACAAAAATTAAAATACAACATACCAAAACTTACAGGACTCAGGAAAAGTGGTGCTAAAGGGGAAATTTATAACTATAAATGTTTACATTAAAAAACAAGAAAGATCTCAAATAACCAATCTAACTTTACAACTTAAGAAATTAGAAAAAAAAAAAGAATAAACTAAACCCAAAGTTAGCAGAAGGAAACAAATAATAAAGATTAATAAATGAAATAAAGAATAGAAAAACAATAGAGAAAATCAATGAAACCAAAGATTGGTTCTTCAAAAATATCAACAAAATTGATAAACCTTTAGCTAGATGGACTAATTAAAAAAGAGAAAACTCAGATTACTAAAATCAGAAATGAAAGTGGGGACATCATAACCAATTCATCAGAAATAAAAATGATTATAGAGAGGACTAGGAACATTTTACTCAAACAAGTTGGATAACCTAGATGAAATGGACAAATTCCTAGACACAAAAACCTATCGAGACTAAATCATGAAGAAATAGATAATCCGAATAGACCTGTAACTAGTAAGGAGATTGAGTCAATAATCAAAACTCTTTCAACAAAGAAAAGCCCCGGACTTCACTGGTGAATTCTACTGAACATTCAAAGAGGAACTAATCCCAATTCTTCTCAAATTTTTCCAAAATTGAAGAGAGGGGAACACTTGCTAACTCGTTCTATGAGGTAAGCATAGCTTTGAACCCAAAGCCAGGCAAAGAAACTAAAAGAAAAGAAAACTGCAGATCAATATCTTTTATGAACATTGATGCAAAAATCTTCAACAAAATGTTAGCAAACAAATTCAGCAACATATTAAAAAGATTATACACAGTGACCAAGTAGGTTTTATCCCTGGAATGAAAGGATGGTTCAACATATGAAAACTAATCAATGTAATACACCACATTAACAAAATGAAGGGTAAAAATCACATGTTCATCATAGTTGATGCAGAAAAAGCATGAGACAAAATTCAATACCCTTTCATGATAAAAATAAAAAAGGCATTGAACAAAATAGGATTACAAAGAAACTATCTCAGTGTAATAAAAGACATGAAAAACCTACAGCAAACATAATACTCAATAGTGGAAGACCAAAAGCTTTTCCTTTAAAATTAGGGACGTGGTGAGGATGCCTGCTTTTCCCACTATTCAACATAGTACTAGAAGTCCTACTGTGAACCATTAGGCAAGAAAAACAAATAAAAGTCATCTACATTGGAAAGGAAGAAGTAAAATTACCTCTGTTTGTACATGATATGATTATACACACACACACACACGCATACATATATACACACACACATATATATAAAGATTCCTCAAAACAGCTATTAAAACTAAATATGAATTCAGCAAAAAAGCAGGATACAAAGTCAACACAAAAATCAGTTGCATTTCTACACATGCTGAAAATTTTGAAAAGAAAATTACAAAAACAATTCCATTTATAATAGCATCAAAAAGAAGAAATACAGTTGACCCTTGAACTATGTGGGGGTTAGGGGCACTGACCCCACACAGTTGAAAATACGTACATTACTTTTGACTCTCTCCAAACTTAAGTAAAGTCATTCATTGTATGGTTGGCTCTGGGATGCCCCATGAATACCAAAATACATGGATGCTCTTATGTAAAATGATATAGAACAATGCATACAGTTGAGCATTGTATTATCTTTCTAGGTTTTTCTTTGGGTACTTTAGAATATTTATGGCTATTTAAAAGAATTTTTTAAATTGCATTAGCTAATCAGTCACAGCAATTGATTTTTGTTTGACCTTGTTTCCAGCAAGGGCTCATTTTTAGAACTAATTTTTAATAGCTTGTCAATTGATTATTTGACTGTTCTAAATTTTAAAAATCACATTTTTTTCAAATAAAGGTTGTTTCATCATTTCCTTTCCTATATTTTATTTTTTATTTCTTTTTCTTGTCTTACTGCAATGGCTGAAACCTCCAGTAAAAATGATGCTAGGTCTCCTTTTCTTTTTTTAATTTTAAAGGAAACACTTCTGACAGTTTGCTGTTTGTAGCCTGGTCTAGAGATTTTAGATTGCTATCTTACACTAGTTTAAGAAAGTTTAAAATCTGGTTTACATAAAAAATTTTTTAAAATGTTATTGAAATTGTTATAAATTCAAATTAGAATGTTATAAGTTTAAGATGTTAAATGTAATACCCAATGGAAGCCACAAAAAATAGCTATAGAATCTACACAAAAGGAAATTAAGAGGGAATTTAGATGCCTACCATATTTGCAAATTCCCAACCACAGATTGAAAATGCCATTTTTGATCTGCAGTTGGGTGTGAGACCCAGGGATATATAAGACCATAAATTTGTTTATGAGTGGACCCATGCAGTTCAAACCTCTGTTCTTCAAGGGTCAATTGCACTTAAAATTAACCAAGGAGGTAAAAGACTTGTACAATGAAAACTACAAAACATTGCTGAAAGAAATTACAGAAGACATAAATTAATGGAAACACATCTCACATTCATGGTTTGGAAGATTTGATATTGTTAAAATGTCAATATTACCCAAAGCAATTTACAAATTAAATGCATTCTCATCAAAACCCCAATGAGGTGCTTTGCAGAAATAAAAAAATACATTCTAAAATTCATGTGGAATCTCAAGGGGCTCCAAATGGATGAAACATCTTGAAAAAGAAGAACGAAACTGGAGAATTCATACATCATTATTAAAAACATACTACAAGCTGCAGTCATCAAAACAGTGTGGTATTAGCATAGAGACGGACATATAAACCAATTAAATAGAACAGAGACCCCAGAAATAAATC